CGGCGCCGCATGGCCCCGAGCCGAGCCGAGTGTCCCCGGACCGTTCCGAGCCGAGCCGAGCTGAACCCCGCCCCGCCGCGCCACCTCCGCGCGCCGCGGGGCACGCTGGGAGCTGTAGTTCCGCTGCTGCAGCTTTCATGTCCAGTCCTGCGAGCAAGGGTTGGGAAGAAGGAACGCTTGGGAAAAGCAATGCTCACACTATCCCAAAGCAATTCAGAGCTTTTAAGGACGGACAAGTTTTGCTGGTTCGCCTAGAAAAGGTTTATTGTTATAATGATGGGAATATGTGCAGAATTATAAAACACAGTGCATTACATTGTGCTTATGGTCAACTGTAAATCATATTTGCATCAGGATTTAGCAAAAAGTTTTTTTTTTTTTTTCAAAGGCACTGCTGGTCTTACAACAGTATAATAATGCACTTGCAGATTTTTATGTTGTTTACCCTACACCCATCTCCACCTATCACACTACTACCTCTTCTACTCATTATATCTTCATTATCTTAAGTCCTTATTATTAGCAGCAACTAATGGTGGTTGTTATACGCAGAACTCCTGGTTTCTATATTAATGTGAAACTATTAAAAGCTAGCTAAGAGTTCATCAAAAAAATGCACTAAGTGCCCTAACTGAACTAGTCTAAGTGAAGAATTTTTTTTCTCCATCGCCAAAAGAGAAGGCTCTACTGAAAATAACAGTTCTTCCTAGTGCCCAAACGAAGATACAGGCTGGCAAGTTGCCAATTACCTTTCCGAAAATAAAATGAAGATACTCAGCCTTTCCTAGGCAGGGGTCTGGAATGACCTACAAAGTACCATTAAATCCCCAACCCATTTCTAAAGTTCAGATCCGTAAAAGGCAATCTACTTCACCCTCCAAAACAGAAAAAAATGATATTGCCAACATCCCTCTCGACCTCTGTAGTGTACCACAGTAGGAATTAAAGGTGTTCATAATCTGAGTTGCTTACAGCTTTCCACAGAGCATCTCTTTGAAGAAGCAAAGTCAGAATTTTCAAAGTAGTTTTCCTTTCAATTCCTACTGTCTTTTAAAGAATGTGTACATTGTGTTTTCCCTACGTTCCTCTAGAAAATTAGCAGATTGTGGTTCTTTTGTTGTAAGCAGCACAAACATAACAGAAATGTTTCACTATCGCCAAGTAATCTTCAATTTGAATGTGCAATCTAAGCAATGCAAACTAACAGAACAGCCATTTCCCTGAGACTTAGTCCAAAAGCAGCTGCTTTTCACTCCTTGTACAATTACACCTGTAATAATACTTCCACAACAAACTAATGTGCCCCATTTTGTGCTTTTCTTAAATAATTTCACTCTGTATCCTATCATCCTGACAAGCCAAGATACAAGGGATAGCATAAGGTTCTGCATTGCATTATTATAGGTTAGCACTTCCATAGACTCAACAGGGGCAATATCTCTCTCTGATATCCAGTGCATAGGACTATTCAGCTTTTTGGCACAGAAGTTAATCACAGACAGTAGTTAATCACAAACAGCATTGCAAACATAGAGAATTCATTAATCCCTTCTGATGTACATATGTATATACTCCAGATAGTATAAAAGTGCGGTTAATATGATACTGTGTACCCTGCAAAGACATTCTGGTTTTATTTACAATAATTCAAGTTTAGATGAAAGATTTCAGATTAAACTTTGTTCCACTTCCAGTCATCAGGAAAAGACAGAACACTGTGGCACAGTTATTGCTGGGAAGCCAGAGAAATACTCTGCAGGTACTCTGCAGATGCCATTATAAAGTTAGTCCAATCTTCAGCAAGCACCTCCATGGAGGCTTCCTCCCCGCCATATTCCTGTGGGAGAATGCTGACTGGGAAGTGTTCGGTCAGGCTCTCCATGTAGTTATTTCCATGCATATGTACCTAAGAAAAAATATGGAAAGCATTTGCTTTGAGTACCAGTACCATGAGTATCAGGCTCTCAGGTGAAAACAGACAGCAAAGAAACTCAGTGCAAGAGCAGTTCTCCTATTGCATTATTATAGCAAAGCTTTGCTCATTACTTCCAAACAAAAACTTGTCTAGGCTCTTATATAATTCTTGACACAGATTTTGCACACTTAATTATACAACACAAAGACTTCAAAAATACGCACTGAAAAGGCAGTGAGCTGCCTTTTGTCCAGTGCATCTTCTTCAGGATCTTGGATAACTTCAGAATAACAATTATTCCTAGAAAAAATAAGGGCAACTGGTCCTGATAGCTTTCCTGGAGCTCATACCTTTACCTTTAAGCTCAGGGCACAAGTCAGTCTTGTAGGGGCTTCTGACACAGCTCTTATATGACAGAGGAAAGGCCATGGCATCAGGCTATTGCAGCATTTTTTTAAAATCATTTTTAATTTTAAAATCATCATTTTAAAATCATTTGAATCATCATCATCATAGGTACTGCGCTAGGCTGGCCAGAACAATATAACCTCTTTTCTTTGTTGAAAGCCAAGAAAAGCAGACTAGCAAGGCCTCACACACGGCCTCACACAAGGAAGCTTCCGAGTGGGAATAACAACAGAGAGGGCTGCTTCTTTTGTAGCTTAGTCCTGATGTTAATGTTTCACAGCATCTCCTCTTCTGCCAGCTGATATCTCCAAAATTTCTCCTATATTACAATGAACCCTTTCAAAATTCTTGGCGTGCTTTTGCATAAAAATACTAAGAGTGTTTTCAGGTTTAAAACTGCAAATTAATATAAAACAACTAAAAACTTACTTGGAAGGCAAGTTGGAACTTTAGCCTGGACTATTTAATATGCATAAATACCTATGCACGTTCTTTGCCGCCAGAAAATTGTCTTCTACTGTCTTTATATGGCTTGGAGCATAACCACCTTGTTCAGTGACAGCTTCTCATTGTCATTTATAGGCAACATGTAGGGAGATCTGGCACCTATTCCCTTCTAATTCTGTAGTAGATTTTGTGTGTGACCTTAAAACAAATTATTTAACCTCTCTGTGTAACAGTTGTTTTTATCTGATGAGTGGTGCTAATATGAGCCACTTGCAATTCTCGCATTACTGATGCTCACAAATTCCTTGCAATTAGACTCCTGTGCCTGTACAGTAATAAAATATAAAAATGATTTATTCTTTTCAGTGCTCAGAAGTAACAGATCCTAAGGGAAGTGCTATAGATTGTCATGTAGGAGTATGGTGACAAAAATAAATATTTGTGTGCACTCACCCGCTGTCTTATTTTTTCAGTGAGAAAAGGCTTAATCAGAGCGTAGACTGGGTGGAAGAATAAAGGCTCATTTATGAAGTGGATACCTCGAACTTTCAGTGGAAAGGAATCCTGACAACATATATGAGAAACAGCATGAGAAAAAGACATTATTAAAATGATTCTACTGTTAAGGAAAAGTCTTGGAAAAATAGCTGGTCCATAGGTTACAGCACTCCCTTTGGCTTTGCTAATTCTTGCACTTTGGAGTTTACACTGTTCCTCACAAAGCTTAGAAAAACATGTCTTATTTCTTCCATTGGAAGGAAGGCATTTCAGGATAAGCAATGCATGCAAAGTGTGCGTCCAGCCTTTTCTCAGGAATCCAGTTATTCCCAGCAGAGACTTTGCCACTAACTTACCAAAAAAGCTAGCTAGCCATGTGCTTCTATTGGCATGAAAGAGGGATGTACAAAAAGAGCCTGTTGGTATTGAACCAGAGATCTGCCAGGAAATAATGAAGCCTGCTAGCTGTTTAATGAAAAAAAATACACCACATTACAAATTATACTTTTAAGTTTTTTGGGAAAAATAAATATTTGTGTGCACTCACCCGCTGTCTTATTTTTTCAGTGAGAAAAGGCTTAATCAGAGCGTAGACTGGGTGGAAGAATAAAATAAAGAAAAAAATAAAATAAAGAAAAAAATAAAATAAGAATAAAATATCATTCCTTTAACTTAAAGTTAGTACTTTCAGTGCTTTATATTTGACTACAAAACATTTTCCTATATCTTACTAACTTTAAGTTAAAGGAATGATATTTATAACTTAGAGACAAGATCTGAAATTAGTGGAAATTTTGCCCAAACTCAAGTTCATTTTTACAGCAAGATATTCCACCTAACTAATGCTGTCTCTGTAACTAGAGTTTTATTACTTATAGAAACTTAACTTTTCACAAATAGTACTCCCCAATAGCAGAGTAGCCTTCTTCACACTATTGCATGCATCCTTTTATGGGTAAGGAAAAAGAGTTAAAAAAAAAAAAAAAGTGCAACTCCTTTTAGATTTTAATGTAGGATAAAAACTTTAAAACTATCAGATTATATGTTACATGTTTGCGGCATGTATTATATACTTAAATTGAACTATCACGTTTTTCACAAAATAATTTGGTTTTGCTGGAAAAAACTGATTTTTGAAGTTGATATTTATATTACTTTCTGATGTTAGTTTTCTTTTCATTTTTTGCACATTTCCTTTCTATTTACTCCTATTTCTCCACGTAAGATAATGATTTGCAAGAAAGACAACATTCCTAGGGGAAAAAACAAGGCTGAAATTAAGGTTCACTGTAGTTCACCTCAGTTCTCTGTCCTCCCCACATTTTTTGGGGGGTAACTTTGGAATCCATTGGCAAAGTTCAACTGAATTTCACAGAAATAAATATATCCTAAAGCCAGTTAGTCCCCATAAGTTTTGCAAAAATGAGATATGAGGTAGTAGTGGGTTGCACAAAACCGTGCTCCTGTTGTGGGGAAAAACAAGGAGAACAGGAGCAATATACATTGGGTTGATGAATGGTTGCTTAATATCATCCATTCTGGCCAACACATTAGTACCGTCTTGCTCTTGGCTGCTCTTAGCGCATGCTATCTTCTCTGGGTACCAGGGAAGAAAAAGTCTTGCAACATAATGTACAAAAGAATGGAAAAGAAGCAATGAAATGGGAAAACTAACACTGATCCTCGCAAAAGCAGGTTTCTTCTGGTCTTACACTCAAGGGATTCTTGTGCTGTGACAGACCAATTGAGTTCAAACAAAACATCAGGGACTGGAGGGCATTTGTGGCTATACAAGAGCATATTTTAAGTCAAATCAAGCACAACTTATGCCTAACTCATCTGATCTTGAACAGATTCAAGACTTTGTTCTTTCAATCTGCATGATCTCTACAAAAACCATGAGGAAGGATTGTGTACCATAAGATGGAACAGAAAAAAATGGAGGGATAGCAGCGAATTAGCTTAAAACAATAATTCATACTTACTGTGAGCACAGCAGCAATTTTCTTGGCCACTGCTGGACTGATTTGAAAGGCATGAGCAAATCTCCACCCTTGCAGATCAAAGATAGCCTTGACTCCATTTCGCTGGGTCTCGATCTCCTTTACAATGAGTTCAGATGTGATAAGACTTACCCGAAACACCTCATACACTGTGAATAAATTGGGATCCCATTGTCCTGAAGAGTAACAGATTGCACTGTATTATCACATGCATACCATACCCACCTCTAATTCCACTCACTGCTACTTCTAATGTGCTTCTCAGAAACAAAAAGTAACCAGCAGGACCAAAGGTTTGGAAATAATTGCAATAGCGGCAAGTCAGTTTATTTTCTGTGCCTGCTCTGTCAGTCACTTTCATGCTTATTTTGCAGCTGATACCAGAGAGGCTACCTAGTATGGGTAGGCACAGCTGCATGCTCCAGCATGAGGGTTTGATGGGAAGAGTTTAAGCTACATTAGCAGAAACCGAACAGAAGCAAGGCAGAGCTCAAAGGCGATGATCGCTGCCCACAGGCTTGAGGAAACCCTGAAGGAAGCCACAGATGGTCAATTCATAGCCCATACATTTTTATTCAGTACAGTAATTCTGCCAAGATTCAGTGAATCCCATTTTTTTTTTTCTGAGGCCTGAGCAAAGAAATGCATAGGATGAGTCTTAATCCTCACTACGTCTTTTAGAGAGCACAACTTTGTAGGGTGATGTAGGGATCTTCTATCAGACCAGCTGGTATAAAAAATAATAACAATCTTTGAGAGCTGGCCAGATCATTTCTCTATATAAAGCAAAGAAACATGCTAATGTGTAATCATTCAGTCACAGCACTTTAAAAAACTGTTGAGATCACATCAAACAAACCAAAACTCTTAAGAATGTTGCTTATGCAATGCACTTTGCCTACATCTAAACACCAGAAATAAGTAAACTTCTCACCTCATTTCATCCACATCTAGACTGAAACCTGACAAGAGGCAAGCACCATTTTTGCTGTTCTCTTTCTTGCCACTGTGTTACATCTTCACCACTGATAGCACATGGCTTTAAATATCCCCATGGAAACCAATTACTGGACCCTCAGGCCCGAATAACTACATATACTTAGACTTTTAAACATTTAACGTTTGGGCTCTTTTTTTTTATTTTCTAACAATGCATACATATTACAAAAGGGAGCAGAAATATGCTATTCTTCCGGATAAGACATTCTGACATCATTTTCAATGTTACCATCCCCCTGGTATTGTTCTCATAAAACAATATTTCCATTGAAAGTGTGATAGTTAAAAGAAAATAGTTTAAAAATTATCAGTGCAAAAGCCAAATATGAAACAGGTCCAAGAAGTTTTGTTACTCACCAATTCTGTATATTAGAACTTTGCTTCCGGATGGGTCTCTTGATCTCAGGACTCCATGGTAGCCAGCCCGCAAAAGACCAAGAATGGAAGATGGTCGTAAATCTGCACTTATTTCTGGGCATTCGATTCTCCATTTATGGTAATTCTTCAATAACTAAGGGGGGAAAAAAATGGAGGTCAGATGAACAACATGTGGGCACAGTCATGGGTTTAATTTATTAAATTGGCTGTCATTTCAATGTGTTTTTAAAGCAAATCACTCCTAGAAGCAGGAAGTTGATATATTGGTTCAAAAAAGAGAAAGTAGATTTTTTTTTTTGATTTACAATGGACATTGACAAGATTTGGTAAACCATAATATTGAGATATTTCACCACCTGGAGTTGCTATGATGAAGTTAGACCCCTGTCAGTTTTTTTAACAGACTGTTAACTAGAACAAAAACTTGGAGCATCTAGAAAATGCCGTTATTTTTAGATAAAATACAGGGGAGAAAAAGACATCCTTCTTTCTCAGGACATATATAGGATTATTCAGTTTGATACTTCATCAGATTAATTCAGGGCTTGTAAAAGAGATATACAAAATCTTACAGAAGGAACATCTCCCACTAATCACGCACAGACACTTTACAAATTCATTGATACTTCTAGTTTACTCTCTGAAACAGATAGGGGCATAAGCATACCTAAAGCACATGTTAAAAGATAAGTTCCTCCTACCCCTCCAAACAGCATAAAGTAACGTAGTTGATCCACCTCTTTCTTTCACTACCCCCTAGACCTTTTTTAATCTCCCAGAGTGGAAATCATGAGAACCTGTTTGCTAACATGGAGATGCTGCCTATGGTCAGCAACACGATGACCTTTGCTCCCAGGGCATCATACACTAGTATTTCTCAAGGATAACTTGGGCTTTGTGTTGAAGGGCAATGGTTAATTCTAAAGAAGTGTTTGAAGGCATTCTTTTCTAAGATAACATTTAAGCTTTCTTAAATCAGTTTCAGTTTCTCAGATTAAATACTTCACATATTAAATATGTTCAACACAATTAAGGTATCTATCAACATTCTCTGAAATCTCTTAAACTGTATTTCTCACAGAAGATAAGAGAGGACCTTCAACCTCATGGAGTCTCCTCAAGCGGCCTCTCGACCCAAGGGAGAGTTCTCCACTGCAGAACCACTGATTCCAAGAAGAACATTGCTCCGACTTGGAAAGCTTTGGATTAGTTTTAAACCCTAGTTGAATCAGGATGTTGTCAACATGTCCCAGAGAAACTGCTGTTTTGTGTGACGAGTGCTGTCTGTGGTTAGCTACAGTCGGTAACAACTTCCCCTACACAGAGAAAGGGCTGAAGTGCACACATTTTGTGGTCGGGGTGCACGTGCACGCACGCTGGAGTTGACAAGAATACCCTTTTCTGCAGGGAAAAGGGGTTGAATTGCACCCTCCATACGTACAACATAGTAAACTGAAGTCCACAGTGAATGCAAAACCAGGCTAGATGAGGTACTGTGATTATCTCACACTGTTAGTGCTTGACTCCTTGCAAAGGGCACTGGTTGAGAAATCCTGACCACTTGTGCCAACCAGACAGCACTGTAAACATACTATTCTCTTTTCCTTTTTCCCTCCAGTAGACACTCAAATAGCAGCAAAAAACACCTTCAAAAAACTATCAGAATATCTGTAGCTTAAATATTCCTTCCTTTTCTCCTACAATCAGTTGTACCCACAATTTAATAAGCATAATTAACCATTGCACAATTATTATCAACATCTCTTTTAAAGAGCTGCCTGACAAAAGCAGGATGAGAATAAAAGTGATTCATTCGTTCAATCCTCTAAGTAATCCTATCTCATCAGTACAGTTTGTTTCTCACTTTCACGAATATTAACATTTTCCAAGAAATTCTGGGGATGGGGAGAAAGGGAGTGGAGCACCCAATTTGTGACACACTCAAGCTTCTTACAAATGGCAGGAGTTTTTACTGGCAAGTACCCTAGCAGTTCTTCCTAAATTATTTTTTTCTCATCAGCAGAACATAATAAAGTCAAGTAGAGCTATGTCTATGAGTAATCCTTGAACAAATAACCATGAATTGAGAACCTAGCAATGGGCTAGGAATTTTCTTTTTCTTTTTTTTTTTTGAAAGTTTATAGTTTAACATTGTTTAAATATTCACATCGATTTTTTTTAATTGGGAAAACATTATTTTAGTAAAGAGAACAAAAAAAAAGATCATATAATAATCAGTCTGGATGCAGAAGATTAAGCAACCTGAAATTATCAGGGAAAACACAATTGCTGATTATATTTTATTAAAATTGGCTAATTGGCTCATGCACTTACAGTGCAAGAAAAACAACTCAGTGTATAATTATCTCTATTCAGAACTGAATAACTTACTTAGCATATGAAAATACATGGAAGATAATTTGATAAATGGGGAAACTGGATTAAAAAACTTCTTTTTCTGGAGTTAGATATTTAATTAAGGTCTGTTGGGGATAGTTCCAGATTTCTGAACAACAGAGACAGTAATGTTACTGATTACACCAAGATTCATGTGCTAAAAAAAAAAAAAGAGAACTTAGTACTTTACTTAAAATTAAAAGAACTAGAAAACAATATGACTGTTAGAGAAGTCTATATGTTTGTATGTAAAAAAAAAAAAAAGTATTATTGCTTCTTGTTTAATAACTGCTTATTTATGTTAACAACTGTGATATACAGAATTTGGCCTCTTCTGTGCTAGCTGTTGTACCAGTATACACTTTTTTAGGAAAACAAACAAACAAACAAAAAACTGTTTTCTATTGACATTCTTTAGAGAAAAGATATTTCGACCAATGTTTCAAACTCTAGAATGTGTGTGTTTGCATGTTTACTTATATAAAGAATGTAAATATATGATATCTATAGAGATATAGACTATGAGAATATTTTTATATAGGCATAGAACTTGCCTAACTCCACACATTTTGCTTCTTTGCCAGCTGGGAGAAGACTGATGTACACGAAAGTTTAAGCATTTAGATGGGCACAAACGGAACGACTAATTTATATTTCCTCAATATTCAGTCTGGAGAGCCTGACAGGGGCTCTTCCATCTTGCTGAGGAATCTCTCTGTACTGATCATTGAGGGAGGGTAAGAAAAGCAGCATGTGCAGGGCAGTTTTTTACAGGAAAAAAAAAAAAAGGTAAGGATATAAATCCATCCACGTGCTTTAGCACAACTAATGGAGACCCATGGGTCTTGCTTCTGTATTTGAAACACATATAGTAGGATATAGTATATATAGCATGTAAGTCTATCTGTACAAATCAATGAACAAATAACATGCTTCACTCTTTTATGAAGATAGAAGACTGAAATTAATCCTCATGACAGCATTAACATCTGATCTGTACCTCTGTCTCCCACAGGAGTTACAAAGACACAGGTAAAAAATCTACTTAGAAAATAATATTGTTCCTTTTAAATTATATTTTTTGTTGGAACTCTCACAGGACAAGAAAATTCATTTACATGTTTGTTGGTCAATGTTACTCTGCGTACAAATCTCTGCCAGTGTTCCATGTAGACTGACTTACCACTTGCTTATAGATAACATTCATATATTTAAAATCCTTTATGGAAAGCTATTTGCTTCTTCTGGATTCTGTATTCAAATTGTTAGGGTTCATGCCTACTTCTCCAGTCACTTTCCAAGGTAAGGCACTTGGCCAAATTTAATTCTTCCTAGGATTCAAATGCAGGAAAATAATTCTCCCTTCCAATCTGAGAATAAACTGCTATTAAGCTTTATCTAATATATCATTGGCTTTAATAATAAATGATTAAAAAAAAAAAGACATTCTGTTCTTCGACTCCCACTATCTATTTCAGCGGTGGATTTTCTTCTAGTATGAAATACATCAATAGACTTGAAAGCAAGTCTCGAATTGCCAATTTAAGAATACAAAATATCTGGTTTAGGATTTCTATTTCAATGAGTTATCACAAGTGATTTAAACACAGATTTTCTAGCCAAAAGCTACCTGGTTATTCTTTTCTGAAACTTTTCTCAATGTTGATAGACTGAATTTTCTGATAGGTCAAGAATCGGATACATCTGTGTCAAGTACCAACCAGGGATGCACCAATTAACAATCTTGTCAGTGGCCAACTTTTACTTCATGTATAAGCCAGTACCAAGAAAGATATTGACAAAAGCTTTAAGGCCTTTGGTCATTAGCAGTGACGTAGCAATAGACTTGACTGTCCCTCAGCTCCTCTCCAAGTACCATGAGCTAAGGACAGCCCAGTGTGAAGCCAGTCGGCAGCCAGTGTGAGCAGCCCAGTGGTGAAAGGGGCTGGTTCCATGGCACGTGCTACCTGAGATGGGACACCCACCCAGGAGGGGAGGGTGCACCTACTGTCTAGACTAGGCTAGGGTGAAGTACAAACACAGCTTGGAAGATACATCTTGTGACAACCACAGACCTTTGCACAATAATTCTCTCAGGCTTTTTAAGAATAAAGTGGCTGCAGATAAACACATTCCATTTTATTTATTCTTGGTATGTGCTTTTTGCCTTTTTCCTATGTTGTTTCCAAAGAGAAGTAACCTAGAAATCAGTCATAGATTAAGTAGCTACAGCACCTGGAGACCTAGAGTGCTACATGGAAAGATTAAATTATGGTATTTTTTTGAACATCATAGTCCATTAGTTCAAAGAAATTGTATAAAGATTCTGAAAACAATTTTCCAAAGTAGACCCCCAGCCCTAGAGAGGTGAGCCATCTGGAATGATAGTTAAGGAAGGATGTTGGAGACATTAGACGGCAAAGGATGATAGAGGACCCCAGGCAAAAAGGGGGATTAACTCTCAAAAAAGGCATAGGAAGCTTTCTACTTTGTGGACTCTATCTTTTAATCTAGTTTAGATTCAACCTTCTTCAACATTTGCGCTCTCTACAGTACTGTCTCATAATTAATCACAAGGAAGTGAAGAAACTTCTGGGTCAAATTCTGGAATGTCATGGCCTTGTCTACAGAATTATCAACTTCCAGTATTACAACATATCACAGAATCACAGAACGGTTGAGGTTGGAAGGGACCTCTAGGGATCATCTAGTCCAACCCCCTGCTCCAGCAGGGAC